CATTGATAATTTCTTATATTACATCTTAATTTTATTTATATCCTTGTATAATGCATATTGTGTCATGTACATAAGTTATTGCGAAAAAGCGATACGATTCGGAGGGTCGTATTAACATCAGTCCTATCATCTTACTGTCGTCATCTAGTTCACCCAATAATTCTTCCTTGATTACTCAAAATAAATCTTAATTAAGTCACCAGCTGCGCCACACCGCGCTTTGCCATATTGTGTTGCCTGAAAAATCGTTAAAGTATATCTTTATTTAACGTAAAGTTTTTGAAATATTTTTTAAAATTAATTATGCGCTAATGATGGTGATTATTGAGAGCTCAGTTTGCAAAGAGGAATTATTTAGAGAAATCTCGCTGTTTCGACATTTAAATGTACGCTACGACCAGATGATTTTCTGAAAGAGAATACCATCGCGATTGTCCAGGTCTGTACGGTTTGAGAAACTAGGATGGATATTTTTGGACAAAAGCACGTCTTTCACGAGCGTTCTCCACGATACGACGGTTTCCCCAGAGAAACTACATTTCATCTCTGAGGAAGCCGCCGCAGTTATTAAATGTACACTCAAAGCGATATCGCAAGACGAACCAATGATAGAAACACATTTCCTGATGAACAAAAAAATTATTTAAAAAATTTCAGTAGGTAACTGTCAAATCTCTGTAAGTTCCACATTTGCGATATTTCGATGCTTGATGCCATTACTTCAAAATTTTCTCAAAAAAAATATTTACTTATCAAAAAATATAAATTTTGACCTCACTTGCGAATTTCGCTTTTCCCGAAATGTTCCATCCATTCACCGAAAAGAAAACGGAAAACGAACGGGAAGCATTTTTTTTTAAACGATTATTCTTGGCCTCAAAACTGTGTGTCAATTATTCCATCTATAATTCATAACATAACTCGTCGGAACGCGATAAATTCTATTATTATTATTATCCGATTAATAACGCGCTTCGAGAAGAAGCTCTTTTAAAATAAGGAATATTCTCAGTTATAAATGAAATATAAAAGACGTTATAAAAGTAATTCGCTTTTTGCAAATTACTTTCAATTACTTGCAATATCGATCGTTAATCCCTGTGACCAATGCAAAATCTCGATGGTACCTGATTAGAGTCCTGGTGAGCGATCTATAAAGGATGTCCTCATACAATGTGACTTTTCATAACTTTTCATAACTTTTTAGGCAACGTAACTTTTTATTTGTCGTTGGACAATAAATGTTTAGAAGCAGGAGCCGCTATTGTACATCAAACTGCCCAGATATCACACAGTTCTCTGTTTACAAACGGTGGAGTTTCGCCCTCAGCCAGCCCGCTTCGCAGTTTTGGAAGTATTCCGAAATACGCAAAACCGTTTGCGCGCCGCATGCCAGGACGTCTCCCCCGGGGATGAACACTGAAAATTTGATCGCCGGTATAACGAGATGCGTCGCTGGATTTACATGTATGTTTAAACATTTCTTCGCCGTGACCCGCCCGAGTTTTGAGATCGGAGTATTCAATCGAGACATCGGAAGATCGAAAAAAAAAATTGCCTATCCGGCTATTTTCACGCGGGAAGGGAGGAGGGGAAAGGTTTATTTCTTTTCTTCCCGCATAAATATGTATTCCCCGCTGTTTTCTTGAAAGTTAGTCAAACGGGGGGGGAGGAGGTCGTGTTGGCATACGTCATTCTCTTTCTCGCGGTTAAATTTGAGTCGCGCGAGCCTTTCGCTGCGACTTGAAATTTACGAGACCACGTTGCGTAAGGTATAAAACGCTATTTCGAGCGAAATTTCGATGCTCGGTCAGGGACGGGAGCGAAAAGGAAAACGTAAGCGGAAAACGCTATAATTAAATTAATGAAATGCCGTCGCGCGCCATTAGCAAACACACTAACGCAAACGGTAACGGCGTTTGTCATTATTTCGACGGACCTGGAAATAATTAACACGCGAAATTGCGGCAGGTTTTTTATTGTGAGTAGGAGAAGGGAAAAAGGTGAAAAACGCGAGCCAGGTTGATGAAATGCATCTGAAAAGAGCATATAAAAATTTTACTCTCGATAAATAAGAGCGATCGTGTTGCATTATAACGGCATAAATTGGCGAGTCGTCCGACATGTAATTATGTCACTTGCCACGGTCGTCTGCAGTTAGATTGCAATAGACGTAAAATTATGAAAACTGCCCGATGACTGCAGAGAGAGAGAGAGAGAGAGAGAGAGAGAGAGAGAGAGAGAGAGAGAGAGAGAGAGAGAGAGAGAGAGAGAGAGAGAGAGAGAGAGAGAGAGAGTAGAGTAGAGTAGTAGTAGTAGTAGTAGTAG